GTGTAGACTCTCTCTCTCTCTCTCTCTCTCTCTCTCTCTCTCTCTCTCTCTTTGTACATATGTATGCTTATTCATTGATCCATTCATCTATCTGTATTCAGGGCCTCTCAGCCTCTCAAAACCAATGGATGTTTCCAAATCCTATTATATCCCCTATAACTTGTTCAAGAACTAATGACTAATGGCAGTGGACACGTCTTACTGATTCTTAAATGGTCATATTGTTTTCCCGCCTTCTCTCTCTCTCTCTCTGTGTATCCACATAGAAAAAGAAACAACACACACAAAGTCAGGATTCTTTTAAAGTGAAAGAAATAACCAAATACCAAGGACATGAAACAAATCGTTTCCACAATTCGTTTGTTTTGTGTTGGATTTGGTTCTGTTTTGACCATTCCTCTGGGCCCCTTTTCTCTCTCCCTACAGGATGAGCTAACCCTGAGCATTGTGGAGAAATGCCGGCAATCAATGACACAAATACAAAGAATCATTGAGTCCTCTGGCGACGACGAAGGGTTTCTCTTTGAGGCCCTCAATGTTCACGATGAACTCCAACAAGTCCTTTCCAGGTATTCCGTGGCTGACAAACCAACAGTTCAAAGAGAAGCCCCTTCAGCTAATGAACCCACTCATTCTGCTGAGAATTCCAGCCACTCTGCTGCAAATTCTGGTCAATCCAAAGAAAAATCTGGCGATTCTAAAGGAAATTCCGGAAGTTCTAATAATCCTGGAAATGAAGGGGTGGTCATGAATTATTGGGACTAAGCAGACATAGGGGGAGAGAGTAAGTTGGTTTTGAGGAGGATTTAGGTTTGGTTTTAAATTTATGTAGGAGAGGAGGTTTTATATCCTAGGTGGAGTTCAGCTTTTGTGGGGTAGAAGGTTCTGTATCGCATGTAGAGTTCAGTTTTTGCGAGAGAGGAGTTATTATATCCCCTATGTACTGAAGATTTGAGTTAGTAGGCTACCTGGGCATTGCATGGTGGAGGCTTCAGAGCTAGCCTTAGTGAATACTTGAGATTCCTTGTGGGGTATTTTAGGATCCTGATCTCTCTATGGTTGTTAAGAGTATATATTTCATTTCCTTTTGTTGGATGCTTATTGGATTTTATTAATATATGTTAGAGAGACATGTCTTCTTTACCCTTTCTCTTTTCTTACTTTGTGAGTTGGAAACTATCTAAACATGAATTTCATAGATGGTGGAGATTTAACATGGAAAGTTATCCGGGGTGGAAGCGTGCACAAGCACCCTTCTAATGTCGGAGATTTAACAAGGCCAATATGTTATGGCCAAAAATTGATTTTTATAGTATTATTATTTATTTTTATTTAAATCAAATATTTATCTTAATTTTAGGGTATAGGTTCATTTTTATAAATAAATATAATTAAAAAATGATTAAAAAATATGTTCAACAAAAAATGACCTAAATACTCCTAAATTTATTTTGTTCAATAAAAATTTTCAATATATTTGTTGATTATTGTAATTTAATTCTACTTATAAAAGTGAGGCTATAATGCAAATTTCAGATTAGTATTATTTTTTAAATAAAAAATAAAAAATATTTTTAGTCCATGGGTGAAGATGGTTCAATATGAATCAGCTTGTGCACCTTTCAAGTGCTGAAAAACCTGCAAATTGATCATCTTGGCAGTCATGGATCTTTCAACCTTTGAAATTTGTCTATCTTGCAACATGTGGACCGTCTATCTCTAGTGTCATAGATCTATATCCTCCCTATTTTTAAAGGTTCACATTCCATTGTCAAGGGGCATAAATAGATTAGGCATAAATAGATTAGTAAGCCACGAGAGCTTCTTGCCTGGGCAGCAACATTTTTTAGCAGGGCTTTAGAATCTGCTTTACCAAATATCATAAAGCCATGACCCTACTATAACTCCATTCTTTGTTTGACCCCCTGCATATTGATGGTGTTGTCTTCACCCTTATTTCACATGCACAAAATGTCATCTTTAACACAGTAATAAGTATATAGTTTCTTATTTCTGGTGACCAAATTGTTTCTGATCTTTTTTATTTGTTGACTCCAAATTCATTGTGGAATTGATGATATCTAGCAAAAAAAAAAAGAAGAAAATGATGTGGCATTGATGGTCCCTCTCTCTCTCTCTCTCTCTCAAATGCTCCTGTTTATGTTATATCTTTATGATAACAATTACTTTGGTCATAGTACTGGCAACGGGCTGGGCAACAATAATCCAAGAACATTCCTCATGGTCATGTCTTTGTTGGATCATATTATATTTTTCTTTTCTCGTGTATGCCGTATATAGTAACTAGTTGGGGGATAATAATTTTTCCTTTTCTGTTTGACCCACATATAAAGATTTATAGAGATTTATAAAGCCTGCGGAGCTCATATAACATTAACATCCAATGACTAGCACGCCTTCTGCTGTAATTCTTTCTGCAGCCCCGCATTTCTCCATACGATGCCATGGAAGTTCTGAATGTTTTGAAATCCGAGCTGGGCTCTGATAAGTTTGATTTGCCTGGTTTGACTTGAGCTTTTCCTGAGTCTAATGGTTATACAAATACAATAGATAAATAAAAGAAAAAAATTTATAAAAGGGGAGGTTCCTTTACTATAATTGCCCACCTACCGATCCTAATCTAACTCGAACGATTCGAAGTCGGATGGGTGATTCTTAGTCACTGCTCACTAGCAAGACGTCTCAGCGTTTACTACAATTTCAGTTCCAAGCATTAACCACTCCCAATACTCTTTATCATTCCACCCCATCCACAAGCAGCAATATTATTCAGCTCCAATTGGTGCCATTGGCAGCCTATGCAAGGTGCCTCATCGCTTTTTAGCAGCATAGAAACCACGCAGCGACTCCAATCTCGAAATTAACAGTGCCCCTCTCCATAACAAATCGCCAATTAGGCGAGAAGTTCACTTGGAAAGCATAACCTTCCATAATGTACGCAGCAAATCTCATCTTCTTGTTGCATTGAAAGCTCTCTCTTGTTCTGCAGTCAGTATCTAGTTGTCCAAGATTTGAGCAGCTAGCTGATTTGAATTGGGGTGCAGTGAAATCGAAGGCATCGAATCCATGTGGGCTCACTCATGTATTTAATCACCACAGGGATCCTGAACTACTGAACCTGCAAACTCTTCATCATCGATTGAAATCACAAACCTGTGATTGTTGTCCACAAATGTGATCGTATTCACATTCCCAAGATACTGATCATATTCTTGGATGGTCTTTCTACTCCTCATATCCAATTGCACTATCTTCTTATCACGCATTCCGGCAAGAGGGATATTTTGCTTGAATTATGCTTGTATTCATCAGGGTTAAGCTTAATCACATATGCAATTTTACGAGCAGCGAATGTGGATATAACACTACCAGTCTCACAATCCCAATAATTGATATTCTTATCATACCTTGTGCTTAAAAATTTCGAACCATTGTTGGAAAACGGTGATGTCTCAAACGGCTTTTCAGTGCCCCATGCATCATCTCCGCTGAGACCCCCTTTATGTACCCATTCCAATTGTAAACATTCTTTTCAGGGTATGTAACAGCGACCATTGTTGCCTTTTGAGTGTTTTGGAGTGCCGATCCAATACCTCCCCCCCATAAACTCTCTTCTTTTCCATGAAATGTGGTTTTATCAATCCAACCTCCTCTCCCTTCGCTTTGTCACCCTTCTCGTCAGCATGCTCTTCTGCAGATTTCATTTGTTACTCTGTTAACTCAGTTTGGACCCCTTCCTTCTTTCCCCTTCTTTCCAGACCATGGAGTCTTTCTATTCTTGGGAAATTGGGTTTCCACTTGAGAGTTGGGTTATATATTTTTGGGCTCGTCCTCTCTCTGCACTGTCTCGGGTTCTTCATTTTCAGGCTCTTCCTCTATCTCCAATGCCATTTTCTCGAGTTCTTGCATCTTTTGCTAGTATTGGGAAATGTTATAAACAGAAGCAATTTCTCCAACACAATTACTCCCTTAATAGCATGAAAAATCAGCTGCATAACCATGTTCATGGAAAGTATTGTATTATTTATCAGAGGGAGGGTTCCATTGCTTTATTTTCAACAAAACCAAGCTTGTGGCTTCTCATTGCTTTGGCTAAACCAACTTTGCAGAAGGTGAGGATCCCCCAAGAGCATAGAATCTACAAAACTGTACTTCAACTCTCTCCTCTAAACCTGAACAAAATAAAAAAATAGTATCATATGTTCTCTCTCCTCTAAAACTGAAAAAAATAAAGAAAAAACAAATAGAACAAAATTTCATATTTACTCTCTCCTCTAATACCAACCAAAATAAAAAAGACTTTTCATATTTTCTCCCACCACTAAAACTGAATAAAATAAAAAGAAATAGCTCGAAAAACAAATCTTCATATCTACTCTCTCCTCTACTTCTGACAACCAAAATAAAAAAGACTTTTCATATTTTCTCCCACCACTAAAACTGAATAAAATAAAAAGAAATAGCTCGAAAAACAAATCTTCATATCTACTCTCTCCTCTACTTCTGACCAAAATAAAAACATTTTTCTTATCACTGCACTATAACTGAATAAAATGGAAAGAAGTAGCTCTAAAGCATAATAAAACTTGAAATTACATGCATAATGACACAACGGGTGGGACTCGAACTAAAAAAAAATACATTTTTCTTATCACTGCACTATAACTGAATAAAATGGAAAGAAGTAGCTCTAAAACTTGAAATTACATGAATAATTTTACACAACGTTCACGGTAAATGGAAAGAAGTAGCTCTAAAACGTCAAATTACATGAATAATTTTACAAAACGTTCACGGTGGGATTCGAACCCACAATCTCCCGCTCCGGAGGCGGGCGCCTTATCCATTAGGCCACGCGAACAACACCTTTTTCGCTGGGCACACATTTATTATATAACAGGGCTGTTTTAGATGAATGCCCTTTATTTTCTGTAAATGACAAGTAAGCTATAATATTTGTTTCATGGATTAAGGCAGCATGGGATTCGAACTTTGGATGGGTCCATGATCTAAATAATTTCTATTTCAAGTTTTAAGCACCTTTTGCCCAAGATTAATGATTTTAATAAAGGGTGTGTTTTGCATAAGTTGTCAACCTTAAACAATCATCTCTAAACTATTTCAAATGATATATTTTGGTGTGGGGAATTTCTAGGATGGTCAAAAAATCTATTTTCACCTTTACTTAAAATTTTTAAATTTTTTTTTTTAAAAGAATAGATCGATCACATCTATAAACACTATAAAATCTTGAAAGTAGATAGTCCATATGATATTTTACATGATGCACTATTTTTAAGACTTAAAATACTTTTTTCTTGTTATATCCATACATCTCGAGGTCGAGATGATCAATTAGAAGGCTTTCCAGAATTGAAACAATGTTTTCTGATGGATTTTGAGGCACACCTTACTCCTATAGGTTGACATCTTATATAAACCTTTTTCTGTAATAGAGAAAGTATTTTGTAAAGCCACGCCTCTATACCACCGTTATTTCAAATCAGACTGCAAAACATGATGAGGTACTGGAAAATTTGAAAATTGATCATCGCTGATCATGGAATTGAAGAGAAAAATGGATTATAAGCCCCAAGAATGGTCCATCTTGCTATATATTTTGTGAACTGCCCATTTAAAGCCTTCAAAACATATTTAAATTCAAAACACATTTAAATTCTACACCATAATTGGAGCTTCAAATTCTACAGTGAGCTACTATCAAGTTTTCCTTATTTGAAACAAAATTTGGTGCTGTTTTGAAGACAACCTTACCAAATGTTATAAAGAGTGTTCATGGTAATGAAGATTAGACCAGACCACCTGGCCTGACCATCGACCAGTGGCTTGGAAGATCCAGCTCAGAGCAAAAAAAAAATTGATCTTTTGGGTGAATAAACAAAAACTTGATTTGATCAAAATCCAATCAAAACTAGTGTTTACGCATTTTGGTTGGTCAAACTATTTGCTTTTGACAAGTTCGAGTGACTAAGAAAAGTTGTCAAAGTTTTTCTTATATTTTTATTTTTTATTTTTAAATTATTATTCTTATTTTTTATATTATTTTAAATGTTTTTCAACCTGTTCGATCAATATAAGAAGTAGTTTTAATTTAACGAGACCCCACACCTATTCAGTGGCATGTCCGATCCTGATAACCATAAACCTGATAACTACATCCTTTAATTAATTTCTAGAGGTAGACTTAGCCACTCCATTTTAAATTTTCCACCCTTACTGTCCTTTAATTATTCGAACAAAAATATGGGTGACAAACGACAGCAAGTAGACAGCTACACACATTGCTGGGTAGATTATCAAAAGAGTGGGAGACCTAAACCCCCCCTCATTTCTATTAATATTTATTTTTAATAATTTCATTATCAAAGTATATTAAGCTTAAAAGATGATTTAAATGCCAGTGAAGCTTTTTGCTTTAAATCATTATCAAAG